CTAGACCTTCTTATCCTCATGGCTTTACCAATAACCAACAAATTAAGGAAAAGAAGTTGTCTATAGAAGAAGTCGTATTACATATGAGGAATCAATACAAAGTCAGAGTGTTGCAATTAAAAATATTGAGAATCAACTGAGACAAATTGTTAACTCACTTAGCAATAGGCCTCAGAGAGCACTTACTAGTAACACAAAAATTAATTCTAAACATAAAAACAAAGAGAAAATTAATGCAATCAAGTTGAGAAGTGGTAGAGAATTGGATACTAAAGAGGAAAATCCCCTTAGAGGTCCTTTTCCTTGGGAAAATACTTATAAATTTTGGAATCTATTTGATAAAAAAAACTAAACATAAATCAGTTCAAGTAATTAATCCAAATTTTAAAATAATTATTTAATTAATTAATTAACAAATGAACAAAACTTTGAAAATAGATATGAAATAATTGACACATTTAAATGGCTTGCAATCTTATTTTATTCACTAAAATGACATTAAAAAAAATATAAAAATGTAATTAAACTAAGTTGTTAATTTTAACCATTTTTTTAAATTTTAAGATTTAAAGATTCAATTAAATTTTATTTCAATCTTAACTTAATAAAAAATACCTCCATTAATTTGAAACTCTTACAATATGGTCAATAGCTCATCTTAAACTCATCTAAAATTTTTCAAATTTTTTGGACTTAAAATCGAGTTTTATCAATTAAATCAATCTAAAAAACAAGTAAATCTTAAAAATACAAATTAATTAAAAAAAATATTCTAAAAAAATATTCCAAAAAATAATATCATGCTGATTAGAAAACGATTTCATTAAATATTGAATTTTCTATTCCTCAAATCCTAGTTAAATTATCTAATTGAACCTTAACTTAGGGTATTATGCATTATATTATTCAACTTTCAATGCATTTTATCCTTATTTTTGTTTTATTTTCACTCTAAATTTATTTCCTTTACTAAGAATAAATTTCAATATTTTCATCTATGATAAGGATTTTACTTTCATTAAACATCCAAGGCACATTTTGACATCCTTTATGCATAAAAAAGGAAGATCAACATGCATACCCCTCAATTAATTTGTATTTATATATCTAACACTTAAGCTTCAATATTTAGATATGTGCCACCTTACATATGCATGACAACTATATTATTAGCAAATAACATTGATGCTACAAACATGCTTAAAGTATTGCATGATATAGAATCATTGCATGAAATCCCACATCATATTGACATAGCCCCAAATTAATGATTGAAGATAAATATCGACTATATTCATTAGACTTTCTATCTTAATATAACCACTGAGAAACTAAAAAGACATTTGTTTCATTCATATCAAAGACAACAAATTATGAGGAATCAATTGCATCAAATAATATATTCATACCATATAATCTTAAAGACATTCAACATATCACTAGATAGGCCAATACAAACATTTTATGGATCCAAGGAACATAGAAATGTCAAGAATCAAACCATCTTCATATTTTCTTAACAACTAGTAACAAGTAATAAGAAACATTTACATACATATCACATAATTTATAAGCATTTATATATCTATCACCCAAATTTTAAATATTTACACTCGTTATCATTTTGAGGTTATAAAGCTATACATGAAAATGTGTATTTCAGTTTTAAGAAGATAACGATGATCGTATTTTTGATATGATGTTAAAGCTTTGACTGATATGAATGTAAATACGAGAGTTAGGTGTTGGATATGTAATATATAAGATTTGTGAAGAAAATATTACATCAGGACTCCTAACGTAGTTTGCGTTCGGAGTCCAATAGCGGGGCACCACATGTTAAGTGGGCCACACCGTAATACACTGGTATCGGTCAGCGTTAAAAACGGTGGAACCCACTTGACACGTGACGTCCCGCCATTGGACTCCGAATGCATATTTAGGTTTAGGTCCGTAAATTTTTCTTAAATTCATTTAGCTTGCAACATTTTAAATTATTGTGAAGTAACTATTAAATTTATTAGACTTAATGTTATAACATATATATATATATATATATATATACACCACAGAAATAGTTCAATATAAATAAATATGCGCTTTTATAGTGGAGGATCCTATTTAATTTTGCAATTCCAAGTGGCATTTTACTGCAGCAGAAAGTTATATGTGAGCAGCTAATGATCAACCAAGCAGGCACGTTATAATGTGGAATTATATCACCACCGCATTCAACTTTTCAACAGGCTTCATCTGCCATTAAAAAACTGTTCTTTAGCTTTACTAATGGACTAATGACTCATCCGCATTAGCAAGATTATTCAACAAAAAGAAAAAAAATTAAAGTAATTTGATGCGATTTTCATGAGAATGAGTTTTGAATTTATTAAATTTATGTTAAAATGCGAGCAATATTTTTTTTTTTATTATTATTATTATTATTATTATTATTATTATTTAAGAATGGGTTGGGGCGTGAGTTCCCAACCCACCCTATTAGCTCAACCCTCGTCAGGTTTGGGGGAGACACATGCGCCTAAATAGTCGAGGACCCCCTACTTAAGGCATCAACTGCCAGAAGAGGGTTTCCAAACCCAAACCAAAGGGGCTCATATCGCTGAAGCGGACACGCTACCAAATGATCTGGGAAAGTGACACAAATGCGAGTACTATATATATAAAAAGTGAGTTTGTGATCCACCCATATGTTATTCCAAGCAAGCCTTGAACCTGGAACCTCGGGAGTCTTACACAGTCGGCCCACCAAAGAGTTAGTCGGTTCGTGCATGCGCACCAGAGAGAGAGAGACGGAGAGAGAGAGAGAGATTATATGTATATTGCACACTTTTGAAAGAAAATACATTATTATTATTATTATTATTATTAGTATTATTAGTATTTTAAGAATGGGTCAGGCCGTGAGGTTTCAAACCCACCCTCTTAGCTCAACCCCCGTCAGGTCTGGGAGCGAACCATGCACCTAAATATTCGAGAACCCCCTCTTTAAGGCATGAGTCGGCGGATGAGGGATTCGAAACCCACACCAAAGGGGCTTATACCGCCGAAGCGGATGCACTGCCAAATGACCTGAGAACGCGGCGCAAATGAGAGTACTATTATATATATATATATAAAGAAAGTGAGTTTGTGATCCACCCGTATGTTGTTCTAGGTAAGTTTCGAACTCGGAACCTCGGGAGTCTTACACAGCCTACCAACCAAAGAGTCAACCGGTTCGTGCACGCACACCAGAGAGAGACAGAGAGAGAGAGAGAGAGAGAGAGAGAGAGAGATTATATGTAGATTGCACACGTTTGAAAGAAAATCCATCATTTTTTTTTTAGTGGGGTGGGAGTATTTGACTGGTTTTAATCACAAACGCGTGCAATAACAGATCATTTTAATTGGAATTATCAATCATATTTAATGAATCATCCACATCATCTAAAATCATTTGCTTAAAAATATAATATCTATATATATTTAATTTATATAATAAGGTATACAAAGGTATATCCCAAAGTGCGGCAAAAACTTAGAAGCAGCATATTCCATCAAGTGGTGAGGAGGTGGGGGCGAGTGGTTGGTGTTCTTCTTTAGTGAAAAGCCTTGTTTATCTTTTGTTTTAGATTTGATTAAGATTTAATTAAATTTAGTTTTTGTTTAGTTAAGCTCAATGGATTATATTAGTTTAGCTTTAGATTTATACCATAGTTCAACTTATATTTATACACATATATGCATACATGTATACACACATATACACACATGTACACATCACACACACACACACACACACACACACACATATATACATACATGTACACATCACACACACACACACACACACATAAACACACAAACACAGAGATTAATGTCGATTCAAATTATATCTTGATAAATTTATACTAGTTTTAATTAAATCTTATAACTAAAGAAAAATTGGATTAGATTAGATTATTTATATAATTTTATGTTCTCTTTATTACATATGTTTATTTTTAGTTTATATACATATATACACATATATGTATGTACAAACATCCATATACATTTAGATATGTATATCATGTATATGCATATGTACACACACACATACATGCATGTATATACATACCTATACCCATACATGCACATATCTACATAGATATACAAATACATGCACATGTTTACATGCATACACATATACTTACATACACAAATACATACATACATACATTCACTTGAATTTTAGTTTTTAATAAAAATATGTTTAATTTGGATTTTAGTTTTAATTTAGTTGTGTTTTAAGCTTGATATAGTTTAATTTGAAGTTATTTCGACTTAGTTCAGGTGGGATTTAAGTTGGTTTAAATTAATTCAAATTTTAATTTAACTTTGGTGGACTTGAAGATGATATAATTTTAATTACATTGGATTGAATCAATTATCAAATTTATTTCAGTTATAATTAAAGTTTAACTAAGCCAAGCCTCTTTAAACCAACCATAAGCCAAGTTAGGCCACACTCGTGCCAAAACAGGGACCAACCCAACAAAGTCTGGTCCTACCAGACCAAGCATAGTTGAGCCACCTAGTTTAGGGCTAGCTAACCCACTTATGGGAACTAGATAAATGATCATGTGCTTAGAGGGGGAAGTTCACCAAGGATGAGGTCAACAAATATGTTTTTGATATCATTTATCACATTTAAATATTTTAAATTTGATGAAATTGAAGCTCACCATCCTATAACTAATATTTATAATTTTTTATTTAAATATTTGGATGCATTGAGACTTAAAAATTATATCAAAATTCATATCTTATCAACTTAATTTGGTGTAGTCCAATCAAATAGTTTGAGGAAAACTTCACATAAAAAGCATACAAATATAATAAATATTAATTCAATTTCTAATTTACTATTACAGTGGGGCCCACACACCCGCATTTCTTGAGGTCAACTTTGAAATTGTCTCCTCCTATGTATAAAATCCTAAGTCCGACCGGCTAAAAAAAAATGATTATCAAGTAATAGTTAACCGCACTTCATTTGTTGAATAAAATTCGATCACTCTCCGTTTGCAGAACCTGAGGGAGACAATGATCACTTGACTGGAGCGGGAGGAGTTATGGAAATCATGAGATGGGAGCCGCTTCCTCGAATCGCTTCTGCTTCCGCTAGCTGACGATTCTTTGGAGAAATTAAGAACGAACATCAATCCTTCCATCTGGTTAGCAGGTATCTCTTCGGATTTTGTTTCTTGTTAATTGTTCCGTTTGGTTTCATTTTCTCTGATTTTCCGTGTTTGGATTTCAGTTCTTTGGGGTTCTCGAGGATTTCTCGTTGGTTTTTTTTTTTATTTTTGTTATTGAAGGTGTCTGTTTTTGGAAATACTTTGCAGTGGAATTGAATACTTGTTATTGTCGGGCAAATGACGTTCTCATGTGCTTAATTAGAAATTATTGCTCCAATAACTTGAAATGTTGAAATGAGGAACAGCGATTTGTCCGCGGTGATTAGCTCCTAATTTGGAAATTAGATTTTCATTGGATTTTCTTTGTCGAAACTTTTGAGATGTTTTGCAAGGCTTCAAACAAAACTGATTTCAATCCAGAAAGTGCTATTTTGCAGTTCTCTGCAAATATCTTACTTGTTACTGTTTTGTAACTAAAGAAATTCTTCGTGAATTTTTTCCGCTAAAGCTGTAGGAAAGGAGCTATTGTGGTCTTTTTTTAATTTTTTTATTTTTTTAATTTTATGGATTGTGATTGAGTTAGTTTAGAATATGTGCATGTTTCTGCTGAGTGCTATGGTTTTTTGATTGATTACAGGTACAGATAAACGAAGAGGCCCTCCAAGAAAAGCTAATTGAACAAAATTTGTTTGATATGGATATATATGATGAAAAGCTGTGCATAGGGTGATCTGCAAATCAACTTCAGGACTTCCATCCATCCATATCCATATTGAATGGGAGAATAGGATTTGATCTCTTAGGGTAGATATTCCTATCCGGGTGAGAACTTTATTTGCAAGAAAGACCTTCAGCAAGGATGATTTGTGTTGCATAAAATCTTGAATTCTGCACTGGAAGAGTCTCTGCCAGCCGGTGGTATCTGAAGACTTGTTCTTTTCATGAATGGAGCATCTTTTTGGTTGGAAGGGTTACTCAATAAGATTTTTTAGGTCAAAATTGAAGCTTTTCTGAATGTTTGGCACTTCTTTGGCATTTCTCCTCTGGCTGTTTCTCCAATTTCAACCTCTTATGCTAACTTAAGCAGGCAATCTTCACCTAACATATTGCTTACTTGTCGTGGCACAATTTGCTCTTTGGGCAATTCTCCTTTGGCATTTATCACCTTCTCATTTGCTGTTTGGCGCAAATCTCCTTTGGCATTTATCACTTATATATTCTCCCTTTAGGGCAGGTCTTCTTTTGCACTTGTTGCTTCCGCATCATTATCCGGGGCAAATCTCCTTTGGCATTCATTACATACGAAATTGCTCCTGGTGGCAAATCTCCTTTGGCATTTATCAATTGTATTGTCTTTATCTTGGGCAAATCTCCTTTGGCATTGATCAGTTACATAGTTCTCTCAAGGGCAAATCTCCTTTGGCATTGCTTTTCTGCTGCAAAACTCCTTTGGCATTACTTTTCTGGTGCAAAACTCCTTTGGCATTACTTTTCTGGTGCAAAACTCCTTTGGATTTTATCTTTTCCCATTACCTGTTGTGGGCAAATCTCCTTTGGCAAATGAAACACATCTATCCCTATTAGATTTAATTTGGAGTACTTAATTTGCTACTGTGTCAACTCTGTGAAACACTCTCGTGGAGCTTTAAATATCTATTGGATTGATGAGTTAACCCTGCCCTTTTATCTGGATGGCTATTTTCTGGCATCAAGTTTATGAAGTTATCTGCTTGCCTTACAACTGTGCTTCATTATTCAAGAAGTGGTTTAGCAATGTATAAGCTGCATCCAGGAATTTTGATCAGTTCAAGATCTCTTAAGAACAGTGGGCAGTTGAGAAACATTGTTTGTAATTATTAGTAAGCACATAATTTTCTCTCTCTTGTTCATTCTTGATATTAGGAGTTGCAACTAATATTTGAAAATTTCTTTCTCTAATTGCATTTCATTTGCTTCAATTTTTTCTTTCAGGAATTTGATGTGATTGTTAGCTGTGAAGGCTAATCAATAGATTTATATTTATAGGTGTCGTGCTCCTGCTTTCTTAGAGATTTAGAGGTCAGTATCTTTATTTCAATTTTCCAATGGTAAAATGCTTTGTGGCATCTCTTTGTTTTGGATTGGAATGTTTAGCATAATTTATTGCAGGTTTGGTGTGATGAATATGTTCTGTGATTCTGATTCTGAAAGCCGCACTGAAAGCACCGACTCTGAGGAACATGATGGTATTGAATCAGCATATAGTGGGCGTGCTTGGAGCATTTTGTCATGTCTTGATGAGACCATAGAGAAGATAGATGATTTTCTTGCATTTCAAAGAGGGTTTGTACATGGTGATATTGTCTGCTCCATCAGTGATCCCTCAAAGCAGTTAGGACGTGTGGTGGATGTCGATATGAGTGTGGACCTGGAGAATATATCTGGTGAGCTAATTGAAGGTGTGAATAGCAAAAAGCTTGTCAAAGTATGCCCTTTTTCGTTAGGGGATTATGTAATCCATGGGCATTGGCTTGGAAGAGTGAGCAGGGTTGTTGATAGGGTAACTGTTTTGTTGAATAATGGTTCCAAATGTGAGATAATGGTAGGAGATTCAGATGATGTAGTACCCTTGTCGCCTATCTTATTCGAAATTGGATCTCACCCACTTTACTGTCCCGGTCAGCGTGTCAGTGTTAATCATAACAGAATTTCTGAAAATGGAAGATGGTTATATGGCTCATGGAAGGCTGGACGGACTGAAGGTACTATTTGCCATGCAGAAGTAGGGTTTGTGCATGTTAAATGGGTTACTTCTCTCATGTGTCTTGGATGCATTTCTTCTCCTCCCAATAGTCTTCAAGATCCAGGGATGCTTACTTTACTTTCCTGCTTTCCGTATGCGAATTGGCAAATAGGAGATTGCTGTACTCTGCCGCCTGACTATCAAAACTATTCTAAAATGGCTGATAAAGAACCAGTATTCGTTACTGTTGCCCCCCAGTTTACAAAGATGGATCATTCAGGAGTAAGTGATCAACTCTGCAAAGAAATATATTCCATTGCAAGGATCAGAACCAAGATTGATGTTTTATGGCAGAATGGTCTGGTTTCTGCTGGTGTAGATCCAGAAGTTTTACTTCCTGCAAGTAATATTGGAGAGCATGACTTCTGGCCAGGACAATTTGTGACGGAGAAGGTCACATGTGAAGATATGGAGGCATCAAGTGTCCAGCATCTGGGAGTTGTGAAAAGTGTGGAGTCACTGGAACAAATTGTGAAGGTGAAATGGATAACCGCTGAGCCTAAAAAAACTGAAAATTTCAATAGGGATATGGAGGAAATCATCAGTGCTTATGAACTGATTGAGCATCCCGATGCTTCTTATTTACTGGGTGATATTGTAATACGATTTCCAAATTGTGAAAATTTTGAGAATATCCCCAATCTTCAAATTGGAACTGAGCAGATTCTGGAGCACAAAAGCATCCCTGCCAAAAAAATAACAATCCCCTCATTACTTCATGCAAATGACTATAAGAAAAAAGCTCTTTCGTATGGCCTTGATAGTTGTCCTGCCAGTTATGCGTCTTGCATTGGATTTGTGATCGGATTCACGAACGAAAGTGTTTTAGTTAGATGGACCAGCGGTCTCATTTCCAAGGTATGCATTCTTATCTTCTTCTTATATTGTCTGATATGCTTACAGAACATGTTTTCTAGGGACATGTTAGGCTCCTAGTGTTACTGAACTGCTAGAATTTATTGTGAAACTTTGCTTGGTTTGCTAGAATGACTGTATATAGGAGTTCCTTTTCTTCTAAATTCAAGCCTGATTCTCTATGTGATTGTACCACTCAAATTTTCTTGAAGAACATGGGTGAATAATCTTTTCCATTCACTGGAGAAAATGATTTTTGCATGACAAGGTTCTTAAGTGGAAAATACTTTTTACATAGACTTTCTAACCTTTGTTCAGAGATCTTGTGTTTTAACAACAAAAAATCATATGAGACAAACCTTTTGATTTCTATTTTACTTGAAAGTTGGTTGTTCTGTTTTGATGGAATTTTTTGCTTGTTTTTCCATTTGGCGATTTCTCTTGAGTTGATAGCTGAAAAGCCCCAGAAGAGGGGGAGGGAAAAATTGTATTGTGAAAAGCTTTAAGTGAAAATGTTTGCAGGAAATATGTACTACACATTTGATGCCGCATTCCCTTTTCCGGATTCTAAAACTTTTAACTAGGGAGTATGAATTAAATGTTTAAAAAAGTTAGTGTGGCTGTAACCATTATACATAAGAAATGGAGGAATTATATCTAAATCAGTGTTATTAGAAGTGAGTTTTTGTAGTAAAGTAATGAGATTTGTTGACTCATATGTTTGTGAAGTGCAGGTTTTGAGCCATACCGGAGTTTCATGCTGCTTTGTCTTGTCATATCATAGTATATCATAGTATATCATAGTGTTGTGTGCTCTGCTCCTGCTCAATATAAAAACCTACTGCAATAACTAGGCATTAACTTTCACTTCTCTTTATTGTCTCTCGTAGTATTTTAGTTGTTGCTTATTAGGTCTCCATATTCTCTTGCTGGTTCTAGGTGATTCTCGGCAGTTCTTCTCTTACACGCTCTTTTGCCCATTAGTCATGAATTTTAATTTTTGACACTACTATCTTCTTGTTCTCAAGCTTCTTCTCAAGAATGTTTTTTGATGCCTCATCTTCAGGTTCTCTTATGCTTCACGTTGTCTCCATTTTTTAAGTATTATTTCATTACCTTGTTATTTATATTTTTAATTTTTCTTATAGTTGATATTGGATCCTAAAATATCAGCCGCTATCCACCACTTAAAAAGGACTTGTGTGAGAAGAAAAACCAAAAGAGAGAACCAAAAAAAAAAAAGACTAAGAGGGGTAAGTCAGTAGAAAGGGAAAATCTTTCAAGAATTTTATTGCTATATCGGTATCCACCACTTAAAAGGGACTTGTGTGAGAAGAAAAACCAAAAGAGAGAACAAAAAAAAAAAAAAGACTAAGAGGGGTAAGTCAGAAGAAAGGGAAAATCTTTCAAGAATTTTATTGCTATAGGGTTAGTGGTTATCTCCCTCATCTGATCAATCATTCCTTGTGGTGGCCTCCTCTATTTATAGATGGGATGGCTTGAGGTATGATTCTTAAAATGTTACATAAGAAGATTAAAAATAAACATAAAAATACTCTGTACACGATACGACATGGTGTACAGGATGAAAATAGCCAATGTATAACCTAAATTTTTATTCAGTCTAATCACTTTTGAGATGGGTTCTGATTTGGTCCTTGGGCAAATTGGTGAATTGGGGACTTTGCTGGTTAAAAGAACTCGCCGCCAAACTTGCTATGGATTTGTTGGCCCAACTGGTCTATCACACTTAACTAGCTGATAATGAGCTAAATTCTTTTGGTCAAACAGACTAGTCGAACTAGCAAGCATGACTGGTAGATCAATCCATCTTACTCGAGTAGTATGGACAAATTATTTAGTCAAACTATTGTGGTAATCCATTCAACCGAACCAGTTGATTGACTCTTACATTGAGCCGAACCAGATCTAAGGGTTTTTTACCATATTAAAGACTCTCATTATATTTGTTAAAAATTTACTATCTGATGATTCAAAAAATTAAATAACTATCATAGGAATATAAATATGTATCTATGATATATAAGCTATGAATGCTTTAATTAGTAACTAAGTACTAAAAGCATTACTTCTTTTTGACTTCGTGCATTGAAGCAAAAAAAAACCCTTTGCATCATATTGTGGTGGGCACTTTGAAAATACTAACAAAATCAATATCTCTGCTAGTTTTGGGTTGATTTTTGAATTTTTATGATTCCTTGCATAGAGTTGCATCTCTTTTCATGCTAATTTAGCAAAATCCTCTGCACAGCTTGTAAACATTATGATTAATTAATGGTTTTCCTTTCTATCCCTTCCATTATTCCATATTAATCCTAGTCCCCTCACTTGCTATTCTTATCCAGTTTTCTTGCTTTTGGTTGTTCAGAACTACCTTCTCTTGTATGTTAGGTGGTATGTTCTTTGTGATTCATTGTCATTTTATAGAGGGTAGCTTTTGCAACAACTAGATTGGGCTGAATTAGACAAATGATTTTGAATCATAGAAGCACCCCCATTGTTAAAATTAAAAGTATTTCACATGTTAACATTACATACATAACCTTGGTGGTAGCATCATTATGCGTTGGGGATACACCATCTTTGATTTTAGTCTTTTATAGACTCCATTATGCGACTTTTTTTATTGAACTAAGCTTTCATGACCATAGCATAGCTGTTGTTCTTGCGAGACTCCATTATGCGACTTTTTTTATTGAACGAAGCTTTCATGACCATAGCATAGCTGTTGTTCTTGCCATTTTAAAATAAATATTTGTTTTAACCATCATTTAACTTTAAACTCTGATGTTCACGAATGAAGGAACATTTAAGAAGTATTATTTTCTAGCCAGAGCAAGTGAATTGGATACTTGTATAGAAATATAATTCTAAAAGCTTAATCAAACTCCTATCAATTAAGCATGAAAAAAATTAGAAAGAATTAAGAGTTGCCTTATTTAAATTACTTCCAATTATTCTCTCCTGGTTTTCCTTTCTTGATTATTTCTTTATAGCTGAATGTTTAGATTAGGAATATGTGTAATTAGGTTACCTAAAATAAATTGTACATATTATTATGTATTATTAGGTTACCTAAAATAGATTGTATAACTTATTATTTATTGAATGAAAACAAGGGAAAAAAGACATTCAACAAATTTGCTGAAAACTTGATATGATATCAGAGCCACCTCTCTCTGTTATGACGACAACCACTGCACACAAGAATTCTGTGTGATCCTTTCGGCTGTGAGCAATCCTTTGCCCTAGCCTTCACCGGCTTCGCCGAGTTTCGTTCCTATGCTGCGACCTTCCCAAGCCCAAACAACCTGCCGCAACTCTATCGAAAATCCCACACTTCCCTGATCCCGAGCCTTTTCAAAACTTTTATCCTCTCTGTCGTGCCTTCCAAAGCTCGCATCCGAGCTTTCTTCTTATAGAGTCTTGTAATTCCTCTACTCTGTCATGATCCCCCGCCAATCCTTCTTCCTCCCTGCACCGAACCTCTCTCACACAGAGCCTCATACAATCACAACGTCGCGAGCCTCTGCGTGATTGATTATCAGGCCTCACGTTTCCGAGAGCTTTCCCCTGCTTTTTCTTTCTGATGTATTCCTGCACTAAAGTCACGCTCGAGCTTAGAGGAGCACCGGTGTCGACCTTACGCGTTTCTTGGCACTCACAAGCTCCCTGTGTTCAGGCCTTTCCACGGGGAGTTGTCACCGATTTCCATATGGCTTCTCTTGATTTTTTTTGGTTTTAGGTTGATTAATTTTGATCAACAACTTTATTGATAATCAACTTGTGTCTGACAATTCTGTTTAGAATGTCCTTGACCAGAGGAAAATATGTTGAGATTTTCATACTTATTTTATACTATTTTTGATGATATTGCACTTTAAAGTAAGATATTTTTTATGCTTTGTTGCATGAATGATGAATTAGGATCATTGGAGCAAAAAGATGCAAAAAGGAGCGAATTCAGAGCGAAAAGGACCAAAATGTGTAGAATTGAACTAGGGCGCCGACGACGCCATCGACCCCGCCGACGGTGA